GTGCCCCCCTCCTCTCCTCCCTGTCCCTCCCTCTTACTTTTCTTACCTCCCTCAGGTACCATGTGTTCCCTACTATCCCCCTTTCAGGCTGTTTCTTGTCCTTTGCCTCCATGTATCATTTCCCTTTCCCTGGCTCCTGGTGTTGCATCAAAATTTATATACTCACATATAAGGGATTGGTACTGCAACCCACAAGTGAGGGAGAACATACATCGCTTGCTTTTCTGCGTTTTTGTTACTTCACTTAGTATAACACTCTCTAGCTCCATCCACTTACCTGAAAGTTTCATAATTTCATCTTTTCTTACTGTTGAGTAGAACTCCATTGAGTAGGTGTACCACATTTTCATTAACCATTCCTCAGTCGAAGGATATTTAGGTGATTTCCATTTTTTAGCTATTGTAAAGAGAGCACACACTAGCTCTCTTCACCAAATTATTTTTTAGGAGCCATTCTAGCTTACATGTATGAAGGTAAGTCAGTTTTCATTGATGTTTAATCTTGAGCATATTTCCAACCTGTTTTCACTGTTCACATATAAAAGTTTCAGGTATCTTTTCTTATAAAATATTTTTTTCAGATAATTTGTCTTCTTTAAAGATTTGTTAATCTTATACTATTCCTTGTAAAAAATATTTGAGATAAAGCTCTCTATCATATGTATGTAATTACTATGGGTTTAATAATCATTTTATTTTTTAAAGTATTTTATTATTTTTATTTATGTGTATGAATGTATTATCTATCTGCATGTATGTAAGTTCACCTGTGTGGTGCAATACTCACATAGGCCAGGTCTTGGAGCTCTTGGAACTGGAATTTGGACAGTTATTAGCTGCCCTATATGTTCTGGGAACTGAATCCAGTTCTTCTGCAAGAGCAGCCAGTGCTTTTTATCACTGAACCATCTCTCCAGTCCAGCCCCACATTTCATGCTTTCACTGGTGACTTTGAAAAAATTTTCAATGTAGATGAAGTGAAAATTAATAATTTGTAATATTTTATTAAATTTTTTCATTGATAAATTCCCATGCACATGTGGGCACACTTGCACATGCACACACACACACACACACACACACACACACACAAACACAGGAACACAGGAACACAGGATACATTCTGATTACTCTCTCTCATGGACTGAACTCCTGTCCCTGCCACAATCTCTGCTCTTTAGAAACCCCTTTCTGACATTCACGTGTTTTGCTTTGTTTTGTGACCTACTGAATTTAACCAGGGCCATCTGTGTGAGCATGGGTTTGGAACTATTCATTGGGACTTGATAGGTTCATTAATGGGCACACAATTGAAGACAGTGTTTACTCTCCCAGAAAATCCTTTAGCAACTCACTGATCAGCAGGGTAGGAACAACTGGGGCCCTCTCCAATCTATGCTTGAGTGTTAACAGACCTTGTCTTCTGTAAAGACATTTCAAGCAGTCATGCTGCTGGGAGATCATCATTGTGATACCCAGGCCAGGCCCAGAGATAACTTTTCACATCTCTTCATATTTTCTGGCTCTTACATTCTCTTGACTCTTTATGTTATTATTTGAATTTTTGTATGTTTTGGTGCTTTTTCTCCCCATTCCATTTTTGTGTGGGTTTCTAGGACATTTTAAACAATCTAAGACCTCTAAAACTTACTTCAATATATATATTTTTTCTTGATATCTTTATTTCTACTCACACTTAGGGCTTTTCTTCATATTTATGTTGTTGCATATGCAATCAATAAATGTTTAAGTTTTAAAAAATATTTCATACTTTAAACTATTCAACTCTTATCTAATGAGGAATTTACTTTAGTGGACACAGTGATTAAGTTGGTCAAATTCTGCAGCTGGAGATAAGACTTAGGGGTGAATAGGACTGACTATTCTTGCAGAGGACCTGAGTTTACTTCTTAGCTCCCATATGAGAGCTAACAACTCTGTAACTCCAGTTCCAGGGGATCAAATGCCCTTTCTGGTCCCCTCTATACATTGGATACACATGGTGCACTTACATACATGCAGTCAAAACACACATTCACATAAAAGTAAGAACAAGTAAAAAGTTCATCACAACTCAATATAATGGAGAACACACTCATGGTTCTGTTTCCTTCCATGTTTTCTTCTGCATTGCACACCATCTAAATTCATGAAAGATAAAGGGGCAAAATGAAAATTAGCTATCCATATTTCTTTAATTTAATATAGCTTATTTTCGGTTGATTAGAATTTCAATTGCTGCTAACAACACAAATTGCAGATTTTGTGATATATAGGCCTCTGCCAGTAATTTTATAATGTAACTATCACTTATTTCCTTATAGTTAGGAAATAAGAAAAAAATAAATGTACAAGCCAAAAGTATCAGTTGGTAAATGACTGGGTCTGAATATGAATACATTTACTTTGATTCCATGACTGGTCCATTTAAGGACTACTGATTCTACTTCTATCAACATTTGGTTCACTGCATTGGAGAGATGGCACAGCAATTAAGAGCACAGGCTTCTCATACAGACAACCTGGCTCGAATCCCAGCACCACTCAAGGTGATCTAACATGCTCTGCTGTCCTCCACAGACACTGCATGGCACAGATGAACTTACAAACATGCAGGCATAAAACTCATACACATACAATAAAAAATCCAAAAATATTTAAAAGAAGAATTGGTTCAGAAACCACAGACTACCCACCTGTGGGACACTGCATTCAGTGAATGTACCGTGGTTATGACAGAGGTTGTTTAATGTTCTTATTTGAAAATCTAATGAACTTATCTTTCCTAAGAATTATATAGAAATTGAGCCCAGTTAGATAACTGTTGATTACCCACGAGTAATAGTGCCACTGCTACACCAGTAGAGGTAGTTTGCCCTGCCAGTCATTACGTTTATTCGAATTTAGGACTGGGTTGGGCCCTTGATTAATTTTCTCCCTTAATAGCTTGTATAGTATATTCTAGAACTATGAGATCTTGTCTTCAGGGAAAAGCCTTTCAGGTCAATTCCTGCTCCTCTGCTCTAAGTCCTGTGTCCAAATTATGACCTGTCTTCTGCAGTAGGGTCTTAGCTTCCAGTTCTGGGAGATAACCAAAGGCTCTGGAAATACTCTCTGTTGTTTTGGGGATTTCTTAGACTACTGTGACCAACCACTCAAAGGGAGGTGTCTCCTGTCTGACATTGTGCTCCTTGCCATGCTGCTCCCAGGTATACTCCTGCACAGTTCAGACACAGTATGTGTATCTCTCAGTGGGTTCCTAAGCCAATACAATTCCTTCTGTCTTCCCATGCTACCAATTATCCATTCATCTCTCTTTCTCCTTTGAACCTCCCTCCACAGTCCAAGCACCCCCATTATTCCTTTCCTCCCCCAATATCTTCCACCTCCCTATTCCCCTCTCTTGTGTTCCCTCCTCCATCACCCCATAGTGCCCTGCATGTCTGTCCCTTCCCCCTCCCAGCCAAACTCTTTCCCCAACTCCCCATGGTAACACCTGTTCCCTACTGTCACCTTCTTTTAGGCTCTTTCTTTTCCTTACGGTTATAGATCCTAGAGAAAACTCTACGATACCTCGAGAAAAATGAAATTTCTTACCATATACTAAATATGGATTCTTTTAATATTTTTATTCATTTTTATTTTATGTGTATATGTATTGTCTGCATGTATGTGAGTGCACCTGTGTCATGCAGTGCAGCGGAGGTCAGAAGAGGCTTCAGATTCCCCTTGAACTGGAGTTAAGGATGGTTCGTAGCCACCATGTGGGTGCTGGAAATCGAACCCAGGTTTTCTGCAAGAGCAATCAGTACTCTTAACCACAAAGCCATCTCTCCAGCCCCCTAGCTTAAATCTTTTATGCCCTATGACTTAAGTATATACTGTCTTTACAATAGGGTTTTATCATCGAGTTCTG